CCGCAGCTGCCGTGCTCGCTCTGGCCTCCGTCTGCAATGCCGCCAGCCTAGCAGCCCGCACGCCTGCACCTTCTGTGTTCGAGCCGTCTGCCTCTCTCCTAGGAGGACCTGTGATTGCAACTGGGGCCCACCCACACAGTCTAGGATGATCTCAAATTCTTGAACTTAATCTCATCTGCAGTCTCATTTGCATTTGAAGGCCACACTCACGGGCCCTAGGGATCCGGGCCTAGATATACCTGCGGGCCATTATTCCGTCTGCCACGGCGAGACCAGTCGTTTTCTGATAGGGATGACACCAGAAGGAAACACTGCCTCCTAGTTAATGTTTCAGGTTGGTCTCAGGGTCTAAAGAGAGGCCTTTCTTGTTCCGTTAGATGCCACCCCGTTTCATAACAGACCAGAGGTTCCTGGGACAGCTCTGACCGATGATCCTGGGGCCACTCCTCTCGTGCAGTTTGGAAGGGACGCGATTATAATCCACATGCCCTTCTGTCGCTTTCGAAGCTCACCCCAGGGCCTCGGAGCTAGAGGAGGAGAGGGGACTCTTGGCTTATTATTAACAAGAATGCATCATTTATTTCCTCTTCACAGCAACCTTCTGAGCAAGGTGCAATTGCCTCTGTTTTTTACAGATAAAGATACTGAGGGTCAGAGTGGTGAATGAGTCCAGTTTGGCTCCAGGGCTAGTAAGCGGCAGAGCCAGCAGGCAAAGCTAGGTCCTCGTCCAGGGAAGCCACGTGTCCTGGATGGGCGGGTCACCAGGGTGGGCTTGGTAAAGGGGTGACGATGGGCAGACGATGCAGGCTGTGCACACACTTTCCACGTGTCCCCTGGTTTCTGTTACGGAGGTAAGATCGGCACATGAAGGAGACTTGGGTGCTCGGTGCAAGCAGGTGGCAGGCAAGTCTTGGAGGTTCCTTCTCTCCCAGTGGGACCAGGAGCCAGACTTTGGCTTTGGGTTTCCCACGCTCACGCACGCTTCTCCTTTTCGCGTGGCTGTGGCCAGCACTCTCGTCCACGCTGGGTATTACGTTGCATGTGACACAACCTTAGCCTTTCCCCTGAAAACAAAAAAGCCTTCACGTGGCTTTGCCGTCCCTGCCAGACAATTAGGCCACCTCCAGCTTCTTACTTTTGTAGTAATACAGGTGAATTATTTTAATTGCAGAAACTTTTTTTTCTGAGTTTAATCACTTCCACAGAAGAGATTCACAGGAATGTAGCGCAGACGGGAGGCAACGGGGCAGAGGGTTAAGAGTGTCAGTTTGGGAATCAGGCAGCCTGGGCTCTACAGTGCTGTGTGACCTTGGGAGGGCTGCCTGGCCTCTCTGATCTGCAGTTTCCTTCCTGTGTGAGGAAGGGGTCATGCAGCCCACTGTGGGCTGGCTATGTGAAGACTCATTGAGGCAGTGCAGGTGCTTGCTTCAGGCTCAGTTCTTTCTTTTTATTTCAAGAAAAACGATCTTAAATATAATCATGTTACATGCAATAAACACCAATCCTATATAATAAAAGGCTAATATGCAAATTGTCCCCTCAGGAGTTCAACCGGGAGACCTGGAGTTTGATCGCTCACTATGACGTGTGCTGACCACCAGGGGGTGGCGCAGAACATGGCAGGCGACCAGTGGTGGTGGCAGTGGGGTGCTGAGGGAGCGAGGGAAGGAGGAGGTGGGGAGGCAGGGAATCTGAATGGCCCTGATCACTGGCCAGGCCTAGGGACCCTGCCTGTGCACAAATTTCGTGCACTGGGCCTCTAGTTATTCAAGAAAAATGATCCTAAATATAATAATATTACATGCAATAAACATTAATATTTCAAGAAAAAAAGGATCTTAAGTGTAATAATGTTATCAAAACTGTACTAACATAGTATGATATCACAAAAGTTGTAGGAAATATTAGAAATCTGCAAATAACAGGATTACTTCTATTATATTCTAAAACATTTTTCCCCCTCTGGCTCTATTTTTGTTCATCAGTTTATGTTTATTATATCCCACAAATGAGTGAGATCATTTCTCCAGGCTCAGTTCTTAAGCGGAGTCGCCCAGACTCGGGGTTACTGGCTTAGAGATGACGTCACTATTAAGATTCCTGATGCATGGTGCCTTCTTAGTCGAAAAAGGTCTTTGACGTATGGTAGATCATCCCTAGAAAAATACGTGTGAATGTTTTACAAAATGCAATTGTGTCCGAGTACGAAATTGGCCAAATAACAACAAAAAGGGCGTGTGTGAAAACCCCTGGCCGTGTTTGCTGCGTGCCGTCGGACTAAGCGCCGCCTGCTTCCCGCTGCAGAATCCAGGAGCTGGAGCTGTCGGAGAGGAAGCTCCTGCGGAAGGTGGACCAGCTGAGCGCCCGCGTGTGCCAGGAAAGGAGTGCCTCCCACCGGGCCCAGGAGCAGCTGGAGGCGCTGCAGGGGGAGCTCGCCTGCCAGGTACGGCCGCCTTCCCTCCAGCGCCAGTTTCTCTTCCCAGCAGGGTCCCCCTGTGTGTGGATGTGGTCGCAGCTGCAGTCGAGCAAAGACAGTGTGTGTGGGGGCCTGGGAGAGCCTGTGGGGCCTGGGTGAGGTCATCTGTAAAAGGGGATCCCTGCTCTCCCTGCCTCACAGGCTCCCGCAGGGACCCCTGGGGTGGGGGCTGAGGGCGCGGGGTGACCTGGAGCTCTGGGCAGGGGTTCATTTCTGCGGCCTCCGTGCCTGTATGGGGGAGCCAGCTCTGGCCTAAGGACAGGGAGGTGGCTGACCCCTGTCACCACCTCCGGGGCTGGAGTGCAGGTGGGGACCCAGATAGGATACACGGAACGCAGAACTGGACCCTGGTGTCACGAGGGAGGTGCGGGCATGGCGAGCAAGTGCATGGGGTGGGAGCTACAGAGAGCTGGGCCAGGAGAGTGGGGCCTGGCGGGCAGGGCATGCGAGATGAGGCGTGGCTACCTGGGCAAAGGCACGGAGGTCTGGGAGACACACCAGGACCCGGCAGGGGGTGTAGGTGGGGAGAGGGAGTTGGTGAGACTGGAGGGTTCCCCAGGGGCCAGACCCCAGGGCCACTGCGTGGACCTGATTCTGAAGGCGAGAGAGAGCAGTTTTTCGGGGACTTGAGTGGGAGAGGCTCCGGGTCAGGGTTTGAGGGATGTCATTCTAGTTGCATGGGAGAGAGAAAGACGGTGGGGGTGGGGACAAGTTAGAGCTGGAGGCAGATGGCTGTGTGACCTAGGGCAAGTGACTAAACCTCTCGGGGCCTCAGTTTTCTCATCTGTGAAATGGGAATGATATAGCACCAACACCCTCAAATTGTTATGTGGGTTAAGTGAATTAAGATGTGTAAAACACTCACAGCAGTGCCGCTTTTGTAATTAGTCGTGTTTATTGAAATATTCCAGGGGAGAGATGGTGCAGGCAGGAGGGCGGGACACGTACAGGAAATACTGTGGAAGCAGATGCAGCGGCGCCCCAAGAGCCCCAGGGGCGTCCTGCCCTGGATTGTGACGAGCAGGGGAGCGCAGCGAGGGATTGTCCGCTTGCAGGCTGACATCTGTCAGCGGGTTGTGAAATCAGTTCTGAGTCACAGCTGGGTTTACAAATAGAATGGACGACGAGGCGATAAGAAAGGGCCTCCCGCGTCTGAGCAGGCGCTGTTTCAGGACCCTGCACGGGGCGTGTGCATAATGGGTACGCTGTCGCCATGTGTTTCTTACAGTGGGACAGTCAGAACCGCTCACACAAGCTCAGAACCGCGGGTTTAGCCAGTAGCTGCGGGGCCCAGTGGCGATTTCCCCTTCTATTGAACGCCGGGCGCAGAAAGTCGAGTTCATTACCCTCCTTGGCTTGTAGCACGTCACCAGCAGTGTCCCAAGAGGAGTTTTTGTGTGTTTTTTAAAATATATGTTTTTATTGATTTTTAAAGAGAGAGGAAGGGAGAGGGAGAAGAGATAGAAACACTGATGAGAGAGAATCATCGATCGGCTGCCTCCTGCACGCCCCCTGCTGGGGATCGAGTCTGCAAGTGGTCGATGCTCAACCACTGAGCCACGCCAGCAGGGCCCAAGAGGAGTTTTTCATACAAAATGCAGAGGTGTGTGCGATCCCACCATCACGGATCCCTGTGGAAAAGACATTAATGTGCATTTTTGAGCCATGCCCCCAGTACATGTAAGAAGCCAGAGATGCTCACAGTGTGGTGGGGAGACGGAGCGCCAGGCGACAGCAAGGGAGATGGCGAGGGGCACAAGGCTGTGGACCGGAGTTCGGTAGACACTAAGCCCCCCGCCCCCATCCCTATTCTGGCCTCAGGACACCTGCACGCTCCTGGGAGACCCCTGTCAGGACCCCATTCCCAGGGGAGGCGTGGGCGTTCAGTGATGAGGGGCATGCTCAGGGTCCCTGGGTGACCCCTTGGCCCAGCTACCTCCCAGCCTGGACCTCTGCCTCTAGCTCTCTCCCCGACATCCGTGCATTTCGGAGCAGGTGTTGTAGGAGTGCGGGCACGAGCTTGTCTGCCCTCCGTCCCTGATACTGGCCCACTGGCGGTTTTGCCCTGTGGCCAGCGTTCCAGGCGGCGTGTATTGGCACCATAGACGCCTCATTTCCGCAGTGACCTGTGGTCACTCTGAAAGCCCCTAGAGGCAGACCTGTCGGGGTGACAGGGCTCACACCGGAGGGCGGGGGGGGGGCACACCCGGATTTTCCTCCCGGGGCATTGTCTCCAGGAGTACCTGCCCCGCGGGCCCTCCTGGCTCCCTAACAGGCCAGACCAGCCTGTGGGCTGATGCCCGGCTCCTGCACGGCTCTCGCTGGGTGACTTTGTCTCCCACCACTGGCTCCGGTGCAAGATGTAAGGGCGGGGGCGCCGGAAAACTCACTAACCGAGATAAAAAGTGTTTTATGCGTCATTTTAATGTAAAAATATTCTCCGATGAACAAAACACCGAAGTTTAAACTAAAGACAGGCTCCCTGGGAGCCCCGTGGGCCCTGGGCCTGCTTCCTGACGCCCTCACCCACCGCCACCTGTAGGTTCTGGAGCAGGA